AAAAAAACGAATCAAGCATTGCATTCGTATAAAAAAGGAACTGATAACCTCTTAAAAGTACTTGCTATAAAGTGCAAATAAAGCAAAAAGTGGAGATGGCAAAAATAGCAAAAGCGTGGCAATTAGATACCATTGGAATTCCATCGGAACTCAATTCTAGCGCCTTTGTGTAACTTGAAATGATCCTAATGGGTAATGGGTGACCTAAAGAAGCCGACAAAAGAAATCTGGCCAATAATTTATTTTTCCTTAGACTAAAGATAATCATATATGTGAATGGCCACTTCGATTGATTCGATTGACTGACGATCTAAGCGCCTTATTTAACGAGAGATGATGAAGAAAGCCATTCGCACAACGCGAGAATATGCAAATTAGCAGAATAAGTAAGCTAAGGTGACACAAGTTGAAAAAAAATACAAAATGTACATTTGCTGATGTCAAATATGCGTAAGACACACTTGAACATGGTCAAACCAGTACACATTGTTGTCCACGGGGAGGGGGGGGGGTAAGTAGAAAGTCGTCTACCAAGGTGGCTTACGAAGCAGAAAAGTACAAGTTGCCTTGAATTGCTTAGAGTCACAAATTGTAACTTAGGAAAAATTAAAATTTCAGCCGCAGGAGTCTCATCAATACCTTATCACTAAAGTAAAATACTTTCAATTTTGCGCTGCCTCACAATACCAAACAAACTGATATTCTCGCCTTGGAAACCATGAATTTGAAATAAAAATCCATATCCTTGCAATGAAAAATGTAGAAAATCCCCCTCCCCCCCCCCCCCAATAATCTTAAAAGTTAAGCCCAAACCCAAAAAGTACGCTCCCGAAATTCCGACTGCAAATTGAACGCCACGGAAGCCTTTGTTTTCCTTTTCAGGAACAAAATCGCCAAAGCTCATTTAATGGTGTATCGAAAGCCATGGCGACTACGCCTGCTCTATTGAAATGGGCATTAGCACTAATGCACATATTTGACAAGAGAAATAATAAGTAATCCACTAATTATTGATTAATCAACGTCCTGACTTTTACAAAAATAACTTGCTCAAAGATTCGAGAAACCCAGACTCCTGCCTATGTAAAAACAGTCCACATTAAAGCGATTACATATCGATATTCCAATAATTGGAAAAATTAACAAATCCTCTAATCAGAGTTTCATTTCTTATAATATGATCCTTTCGTTTTAATCCACCATAGACGTAGCGCATATCTTATATCACTCTGTTTTGCTGCCTTTTAAAAGGACAAAGGAATCACTGTAAATGGTTGAACCGGAAGGGTTGTCCAAGCGCTCAACTAGACATAAGTCTATTCGTTTTAGATGTTAAGTACTTCACATTTGTGCAGGGAACATTATCGATCTGCTTTTTTAGTTGCCTGGGCCACACGATGAATCACAATGACAAGCTCGATAGGCAACAAAACTAGATGTCGCCTTCAAGGCAAAAAAAGAACCCCATTTTCACAGAAAAAATATGAAGCAATAGCTAATTTTGACATTTTGAGAGAGAGAGAGAGGGTTGTATTATGCACAAATAGAAGACATGCAAAAGTAGGGAAAAGTGAAATAGCTTACTTGACTGTGTAGGAGTAATTTCGCAGGCACATTTTCTGGAATCGCACAGATAATCAAGTTCCTACAAAAGGGTAAAATAAGATGGAGTTAGCAAATGATGAGGGATTCCCAACTGGTACATTCTGCAATTATTTGAAATTGGTACTTAACCGCTTTCTGGTGGGATCGATCAACCCTATTAAAAGAGCCAATAAATATAAGACTATCTCATTTCTAAACTTGCCTAAGATAAATACAACTTAAGATGCAGAAAGGAAAAAAATATTGAAGTCACTCTTCAAACCTAAAATCTCCCATTTGATTCACATTCACCTCCAACAATAAGCATTGATTTTATTGAGGAATACAAACTAAACTTAACAAGAAGAGCAAGCTTTTATTTCCAGGATTTTTAGATTCAAATTGCGTACTTTGAACACGAGAAACAAAATAGGAAGCATAACCGATCGTTCTTCTGCAGTAAATATGAAATCACAGTAGAAATCCCCTTTGTAAACCCGATTGCAACACGGAAAGTGGTAAAAGATTCAACCAACTGAGACTTAACCAACTTTGCCCTTACATCTAGCTATATAGGGTAAGCGATAGACTTATCTCCACGCGGTGCACCCTGGGCAACGTATACTCATACGGCAAAAAAGTCTATTAATCGGAAGTTGACTTCTCACTTCAAACTGCCATCACTTTAACTGGCAGTTGACTTCTGACTTCAAACCACCATGACCTCACTAAACTGGCAGTTGACTTCTGACTTCAAATTGCCATCACCCCAAAACCGGCAGTTGACTTCTGACTTCAAACTACCATGACCCCCTGGGTAACGTATACTCATACGGCAAAATCTATTTGTGCGCCCTGGGCAACGTATACTCATATGGCAAAAAAGTCTATTACCTCCGTATACTCATACGGCAAAAAAGTCTATTACCTACGCCCTGGGCAACGTATACTCATACGGCAAAAAGTCTATTAATATGGCTATTGACTTCTGACTTCAAACTACCATCACCCCATTGTATGGCAGTGACTTCTGACCCCACTGTATGTCATATTCGACTAAGGCAGTTGACTTCTCACTTCAAACTACCACCACCTCATGCACTATGGGCAACGTATACTCATATGGCAAAAAAGTCTATTAACCTGCAGTTGACTTCTGACTTCAAACTACCACGACCCCCAAACTTCAGTTGACTTCTGACTTCAAATTTCTATGGCCCGAATATTTTTAAGTTGACTTCTCACTTCAAACTGCCATGACCCGACACTATGTCATATTACACCACTCTACAGTACTCATCTTAACTTTTCTCTGCCTCTGTTTCTGTCTGACTATTTAACATCTATTAATCATTATTCTGTCCCTCCTCTCGACTTTTTGGCATTTTGAAGTTCATCCTCCTCGCTGTGAAGCCCGAAGTCAAATAAAGGACTAATGATAACTATCAAAACGCCTGTCATTTGAGATAAATAAATAAACACCTAACCATACTTAATCTGTCATACGAATAAGAGTTGAACTTTGCAACAAGAAACATGTTATGATTTGAGCAGTAGAAGAGAAAAACATGGAGATTGAAAAACCATTTAATTCCATTGAGATTTCGAAGTGGGTTCATTTAAAAGACTAAAAACTAGGCTTAAGTGAGATTAGCTAGAAAAGCAGTAATACAAAAAAAACGGACAAATATAACTTGTTTAAAGGTCTTTATTATAAGTGTTAGTAGGGACAAAATAAATAAAGCTGGTTTACAAATTCAACAGTATCATCACATTAGTCAAGTGCGTTTTACAATATACAGTAAAAATCGAAATACCAAGAGAAAAGTATATAATCTAATCGATCATAAAAGGAATAAATTAAAAAAACAGGAGAAAATAAACGGCAAGTTTAAACGGTTAATAAATACTGATAATTTAACTTGCATGATCCTTGTATTCTTCAGCATTTGCATTAACACCACCTTCACAAATCACCGAATCGCGAGTAGCATTGGACATAGTTATTGTGTACTTTGGACAATTGCTAACACACACCTAGAGAAAATTAAGAAAAGGAATTTAAGTGAATTTTACCTTTTCGGTGGGGCAACCAAACTTAAGAACGACATCTGACATATCAAGGCAAGAGGACATATTATAAAAGAATAAACGCCCTTTATCTCTAAAAGTGAAGAAAAATAGCTTCAACACCAACCAGACTTTTAGAGAGTTTTTTCAGCATATACTCACGGATAATCAAGTCCACAAATTTTGCCGTGAGAATCCTTAGGGAAAATAATCCTCCGATAGTCACCCATTATAAAGCCTAGAGGAAAATTGAACAATAAAACAAAGTGGAAAAGAAATTATTAAAAACAATTCAAACTAACTGAATCCAGCAAGAGCACCGAGGAGGGAAAGACAAATAATAAATAATACACAGCATATAACGTCAGTGCATTGTCTAAAACGAAAGGTAATGATAAGAAACTCTTCTTAGAGAAAGGAAAGCAAAAGAAATAATAAATAACCTCTTTTTAACCGGAAGTTCAATTTCAATATTTTGATTTTGATCGCCACTAACTAGATAAATGAGTAAAATATAAATCAGTAGAACAGTAGAGAAAAATAAGGTGTGATATCTCTTGATAAGGATATAACAAATAGACTACCTTTAACATATTTGAAATTGAATGGTTAAAATATACCTTTAGAAGACTGCGATTGACCCATTTGGACGGCCTCGCTTAACACAAACAACCTCTAAATTTCTATTCACAATGCCTCCAATCTAAATTTTCTCTGTTAGCCCCATTTAAACGCGAAAGAAAATGAAATAGATATTCCAAGATATTGTAAAAATCGATATAATATAAGGTTTTAGAAACTTGCAACTCATTATTTTGCTGTACATTTGATTGAAATATGTATGAATTGAATGAATTGATTTTCGTTTTAGTTCACTTTAATAGTTCTTATCATGGTGAGACAAACGAGCCACATCAATACTATTTATCTCCCGAAAATTAATATCATTAAATATTTTAATGACAATAATGGCTGCGCAATTTCATATGAGGTGTTATTTGCATCCAGGGTGTGCGATAGACTAACCTACACATAAGGCACCATGGGCAACGTTTAGTCATACGGCAAAAAAGTCAATAAACCGGCAGTTGAATTCTGACTTCA